TTGTAGTGCTATACAACAAAATAAATTAATAGCCAATTTATTTTAATTTAACCAATTTATGTCATTAGTCTACATTATTACATTTAAAATTATAATTCTAATTCAAACAGAACAGCCTCTTGTCAACATAATTATAGTGTAATTTATTTTCAACTCGAAATATCTTCAAACTACGGTGGCCCATAAGGGTCGACAAAATGCAAAAGCCAAGATAACAGCAGACTGACTGCTCGTAAAATATACGACAGGTCTGGACCACACGTGGATTTTGTTCATATCCGAAGAAAATCTTAGGATACGAGAAAATCGGTGAATGCCACAAATTCTCCTAAATCACTCGTACGCACAACTTAAGAACAAATCTGTTCGTACGAACGGTTCTTGCATGACGCCCATTGTTCCTGAGCTGAACCTTTTGAATGGATAAATAGCACAAAGTATCCAGAAGTAGCTGAAGGGCAGAAAATGTACAGAAACTAAACAGATTATATTTCCACTGGCCAACAGATGTGATACACATGTTTTGGTTCACCTCTGAGTGTTTCAGTTGTTGTAATGTTTATTATCTTGTAGTTTATGCCACCATGAGGAACCTGAGTAAGGCCGAGCCGCTGATCGAAGCAGCCGGCCGGACTCTGGGCAGAACCTTGGAGATCAAGCAGCTGGATGTCTGCTGTGAGGAATCCGTTAAAGCCTGTGTGGACAGTTTACCTGAGCGCAGAGTGGACATCCTCAGTGAGTTTGCATCTTTTTCAGTGACGAGTCACAAATAACAGAACTTCCATAAATACTGTCTGAGATAGGAATTTTGCTCTTAGAAATGGAGCAGCTGAAATCTGTAAATGTGTTTCTGTGGCAGTAAGTAATGCTGGGATGGGCCTGATTGGACCCATTGAGTGCCAGTCCCTGGATGAGATGAAGACTGTCATGGACACCAACTTCTTTGGGCTGGTACGATTGATTAAGGAAATCCTGCCTGACATGAAAAAGAGGAAAAAAGGACACATTGTGGTCATTAGCAGCGTCATGGGCATCCAGGGTGAGCGTCGTTTAGCTACTGTTGTCACCCTTCTTCTCTTTCTAGCTGCCATTCTTCTTTTAGCTTTTAGCTGTGTCATTATGCTCCTTTCAACTTTGAGCTGCAGTTTTGCTCATTTTAATATCTAGTTTGCAGATTTTAGCTTTAGCATCTTGCTAAGTTTAGCAGTGGCCTGACAGTCTCGTTCTCCATTTCAGGAATTTTATTCAACGACATCTACGCAGCATCCAAGTTTGCGTTGGAGGGGTTTTGTGAATGTTTGGCGGTGCAGGCCCTGAGGTTTAAGCTGAAGTATGTTTATTCTTTCTGAGCTCACTTTGTTTCCACATTTGATCATTGCTCCCTTCCAAAAGCGTGTGTATGTATCTGTATTTGTTTGTCTGTTGCGTTAGTAAAATATCTCATGATCAATGGACAGATTTCAATGAAACTCTCAGAATGTAAGCATTCAGTTTACATCTAACTTTTGAAGTCAATCCAAAAGACCATTTCGTAGTTTTTTTGAGCGCATGCACATAGTGAAGCCTAATCTCATCATGGGTCACATGTTAACCTGGTAAACCTAATGGTGCGTTCCAGTAGTCCTGGGAAGTGGTAATTTCCCAGTTCCCATTGGTAGATTTAAACTGCAACGCCCCCTCCAGTGGTAATATTCCACTCGTGTAGTGGAAGATAAGCAACTGTCCCCAGTTTCTATTTCAAGATGGCGGCTACTCGCAGCTTTAGAAAGTTACCTCCGTAACTTTTACTGTTAATTATCTTTCTTAATTTTTTTGTGCAAGTTTAATCACTCGCACGAGTAGTGTGTTTTTTTGTGCATACTGTACAAATTAAAATTAATATTTATTTGCATGACGTACGTAGTAGAGCTGTCTTTTTGTCATTGTTTATATTGTAGCAGTGTTGTAGCTAGGTTAGCGGCAGCAATACAATAACCTGTCAGCTAACTGGAATACAGTTTCATATGGTTTGTTGGGAAATTAGATTAGATTAGATTAGATTAGATAGACCTTTATTGTCATTGTACAGAGCACAATGAAATTACAGTTCAGAACACCCATTCATGTACCATTTACAAGTTCTGGGAATACAATGTAAATGGAATGCAGCATAAGGCTGCTATGAAAATGCCATTATAATTCAACAAGTTAAAAAACAGATTTATTGCTCAGATTTTTATAACAAATCTTATCTAAGACTCTAAAGGAAAGTTTAACACAAACCAGTTTAAATACAGCAAATACATCGGGTCTGTATAACCGCGTAAATTTATCTGTTGAATTTGAGCATAAACATGTGCCCTTTGTGCATTTGTGATCATTTCTAATTACGAACTGGTAAATTCAAAATATTATTTTAAAGTTTGACCACAACAGCTATAACTCCGTCCCGCCTTATTAGAAAAGGATTTTAGTTTCAAGACTGTTTAAATGGTGCTGCGTGGTATGTATTCTTTACAGCTCTATGTTTCGCAGTGATGGTGGCTGAAACCAAAGAGGGCAGGCCGACACAAGACAGGAGGAATTAAAATAATTTATTAAACTAATTAAATATAAAAAGCAACATGGTGGAACGTGACTGATGGCTGAGAACCAGATGATCAAACGAGGCAGTGGTGGTAAAAGATCGGTTTAATACACACAGGAGACGGTGACAAGGAGGAAGTGGAAAACTACTGAGGGTGGAAATGGAAATGACACTGGAGGCATAAACACAAGAGTTAGAAAATATCTAAACACAGAAACACAAGAGGATTAGAATCTAAACATCTACAGTCATTTTACACATCACCACTGTCTCCTCAGTGTTAAAGAAAACTTACAAGTTAAAGCAGCACACCCTGTTTTTAGACACGATCCAACACAGCACCAATTAACACAAACATTTACGATAATGACTCTGGAGCTTAACTAAAAATAAAAGATTGGAGAAAAACTGTAATTATCTCCTGCTGCCAAAGATCAATGCCCTTACCAAAAAGAAGTATACTTTAAGTACATTTCATTAAGTAAACTAAAGAATATAAAAGTGTATTTTCATAAGTGTACTTTTGTTTACCAAGTACACTGATATAAGTATACTAGCAGTCAGTGGTGAGCACGGTTCCCCTAAAGCACAAAAGCACTAATAGGGGAACTAATTTGCTGACTCTGAAGAATGTTCCATGGGTCAGCTATTTTAGTGCTTTAGAATTAGCTTTTGTTAAAATTTTCAGTGCATTAGTGGTTTGGGGACCTAAATATTTGAGTTAGTGCTTTAGGGTTAGCGCAACTGATAGATTAGAGCTGCCCACCACTGTTAGCAGTTAGCAAAACATCTCACAAACCACCAGACAGACTGTGTTGAACGTCTCAGGAAGTTATCCCTGAATGTCCATCTACACCTGATTATTGGAATCAGTCTAATTTAAGATGGCTGCCACAGCTCGTCAGTATTAACCTGCATAAAGTCAAGTTTACAGACACTGATCTACAGTTTGATGTCACTACTGAGAGTCAGTAACAACACAGGTTATGACGAGCACTAAAACATCTTGCTAAATGTTGTAATATCACAAGGTTACACTGTATTTATTAAGTTTAACCAAAAAAGCTGCAGCTGTCATTTCTCAGCATAAAATAATCTCAATTTAAAACTTGAAACTTTTAATGAGAAAGTAGGCGGGTAATGGAAAGCTATACTTTAAATAAAGGAAGTGTTTCAAGTCAGTCAGACTTTGGTTGCTCTACATCAGGGGTGTCAGAATTTTTTTCCTAGAAGACCACATGAGCATTATGGTGGCCCTCAAAGGGCCAGTTGTAATTAATTCAGTGTGTTGTGTTTAACTCGGACTAAACATGAAATGTCATGTTCTTTGTGTAAATAAAACAGAAATACTATTAAAAGTAAAAGTAAGAATTTTACTCACTGTGGGGTTGTGCTAAAAAGCTACTGTCTTGAATTCTGAACTGTCCCACTTTCCTACAGGGAATTCCCACTGGAGGGGGCATTCCAGTTTAAAGTTACAACTTGTAAGTGGGAAGTTCCCACATCCCAGTATAGCTGAGCCACAGCAAAAGGAGCCAGCTAAAAAACTCTGTGAAATGTAGATTTTATATGTTGAATTTCACCATCAGCTACTTTTGAAACTTGTGCACCTCCACCTAGTGGTGGGATGTAATTTTGTGGGTAAAATAATCAGCATGCATTATGGGAGATGTAGGAAATGGTCAATGCTGGCTTTAAAGTAGTTTATTTTAAGACAAAAATACATTTTGAAGCTCTCGCAGGCCCAATAAAATACTCCGATATGCCACATTTGGCCTGTGGGCCTTGAGTTTGACACATGCTCTGCATGAACATCTTTTTTAATGAGATACATTTTTCATTGTCCTTCTCTTCTTGTCTCAGCATCAGCCTGATTGAGCCAGGCCCGGTGATAACAGAGTTTGAGCGTAAAGTCTACGAAGACGGCCTGAAGATTGATCTCAGCAAGGCTGACAAAGTGACGGCTGACATGTTCAAAAACATGTACCTGAAGACTTTCAAAGAAATCTTCGAAACCCTCGGGCAATCTGCCGAGGACATCGCGGAGGTATGCTTTGGACAGATGCTTTAGATCAGCTTCTTGTGTCTGTTGTTGACGTTTGCCTGCTGTCGTTTGTTTTCTCCTTCCAGCACACTTTCAAGATCATCACCATGGACAACCCCCCCTTTCGTCATCAGACCAACACTCTTTACACCCCCATGACCACGCTTAAATACGCCGACCCTACTGGTGACCTTCCCATCGAGACGTTTTATTCAATGGTGTTTCAACACGAGAAGGTCTTTAACATCAGCCTGAACCTCCTCAAGCTGCTGCGCTGGAGAAGCCGGAAGAGCTTTTCCCTGGAAAAGGACAACAACTGATTTCCTTTATTTGGTCAAAAGTTAAATACATTCGATCAGTGGTTCCCAAACTTTTCAGATTTTGTCCATAGTGTTTTAGTCAAGACCAGTATTTCCCAAAGTTGGGGTCGAGACCCAAAGTGGGGTCCTGAAACATCAAGGTGGGGTCCTGAAAAGATTTTCTGAATTAATTACATTTTTGCCTTAGTTGTTACAAATTACTGAGGTTAGTATATTGAAAATGGATAAATGTAGTATGATAAACATTGTTGCTATGCCCATGTTTTGTTGACCTGATACAAATGGTTATCATCCAAAAATAGTTGGGGCCACAGGTCTCTGCTGCTGTTATTTTG